GTAAAATGTTTATTATTAAATGTTTATATATATATATATATATATAAATGATATATATATAAATGAAATAAAATATAATAATATATGTATATATAAAAATGTATATATATATATATATATATATATCAGGCCTTGCGATAAAGCGTCGGGCGATGTGAATTTTACGTCGTCCAAGGGCGATTTTGCGTGTAGCTAGGGCTATTTGCGTCGAGCAAAAAATTTTTTGTTTGAGTATATTTAAAGATATTTTTGAGCGGAATTTTAATGAAGTAATTTACGATTATTTTAACATTTAATAAAGTATTTTAAAAACCGCACGCAGTTGAAATAAAAGTTTGAATTTAAAAAAATTAAATATGCTCATTATTTACAAGTAGAAAAAATTCAAAAATTAAAAAAAAAGTTTAAATCTTTTAAGCTAACATTTTAATAAAATTATTCAGCAATAGCAACGTTGTCGATAAAATTGAACAAAAATACTTTCTTTTAGTTTTAGATTTTAAACTTAAATAATTATTTTACAGGGGTTTGATAGGTTTTAAAATTATTCCATAGATTTAAAAATATTTATTAACTGTTAGACGTATTTAAAGTATTTAAGAGTGATTTCGAGGAAACATTTTAAAAATTGGTGAGGGCAAATAAAAAAAAAAAAAGATTAATATTAAAACGTATTCTACTTGATTCAATAAAAAAGTACAGTTATTAAAATTTTTGTAAAAAGTAACTCAAAAAAATTACTTAAATATTAACGATCGCTTTTATGTTAAAAGTTACCGAAACTCATCGAAGCGTGCTCAAGAACAGCTGCTGAAAAATAGAACGTTAATAGTTTTTCGAATAATTTTTAAGAATAATTTTTAAGAATAATTTTTTCGCTGAAATATTTCTTTTATACCTATAAGATTTTTATTCTAACATTTTATTTTATTTTACTAGAAATAAAATTCCTTGTTAGCATTAAAAATCTATTCAAAACGTTCGTTTAAGTTTTTTATTAATACGAGTGATTGTGCTTATCAACCGCTTTATGAAAAGAAATAAAAATAAATAAATAAATATTATATAAAATCGCTTGTAAAAATATTAGCTATTGCACAGTTTTTAATCGTACAATATTAAAACTTTCAGTTTATTACTCGCTGACTTTTTAAAAAGAAAAAATAATTATTTGAAAAACTTTAAATTACATATTTAAGAAAAAAAAAAATCAAATATTAGCATATTTTATAATCTTTTTTAAATTTAAGTTATAATGTTTTTTATTCGTTTAGTATAGACAAAACGTGACAAACGTCGAGAAAATAAACAAATGTTTTTACATTTTAAAAAACGAAACATTCCAAAACATTTTTAAATAATAACATTTCTACATAAACGATTTAAAGTAGTTTTGCGGTAATTAAATAAATTGGTGCTGTTAATGTCGATAAATATGAAAAGCAAATAAAAAGAATTTAATGACGTCAAAAATCACGTCGTGCTTATGCGTCGCGCAGTTCTTATTCATCGCAAGGCCTGATATATATATATATATATATATATATATATATATATATATATATATATATATATATATATATATATATATATATATATATATATATATATATATATATATATATATATATATATGTATATATATATATATATATATATATATATATATATATATATATATATGTATATATATATATATATATATATATATATATATATATATATATATATATATATATATATATATATATATATATATATATATATATATATATTTAAACTATGTTTTAAAATTAAAACATAGTTTAAATATTTATTGCTCTATTATTGTAATATTGAGCACTGTTTTTCATACAAGAGTTTTTGTATTGTTTTAATATAATATAATACATAAACAAACAATAAATATATATATATATATATATATATATATATATATATATATATATATATATATATATATATATATATATATATATATATATATATATGCATTTATCAGCGACTATTCTGGGTAAAAGATTTGGGCAGCAGTACACTCTGCCCCCCCCCCACTCTTCCCGGAGAAATTTAGTGGAAATATTGCCATATATGAGTGTTTTTTTGCGAAAAAAACAATATTTGCTGTAAAAAATGTTGGAAAAAGATAGAAAAAAAAAAACGGTCCTCAAATTTTAATTTAGGCAGCGCCAAATATTGTTTTCGGGGTCTAGAATAGCCTCTGTGTATGTATATATATATTTACACGCTAGAGCTTGGCAAAAATAGTTATAATAATCAAAACAATTCAGAAAAAATAAGTACCACTAACTTGAAGTAATTTTTCAACTTTTTTTTTATATTTTTGTTTGTACCATTTTGTTTGTTGTTTAATTATTTGTTATAGTTGTTTAATTATTTTCATTTAAAATTGTTAAATAACAATATCAAGTTAAAACAATTAAGCAACAAAAACAAATTTGTTGTCAACTTTTTTTTTTTAATTTTAGCTTTTGTATTACTTTAAATATTATAAGTATATCTTTACATTATACTTTTGTAAACATATCACATGCATAGTATTCAGTTGAGAAAAGTATATTCAATAGGGTTATGCAAAATAAGGGTAAAAAAAAATCTTTCAATGTTTTGGGAGACCCCCTTATTTGTTTTAATTTGTTGTAAAAACAATCTGTACAAAATTGTAGGTTAAAATGATAATATTTAGGGGGTGTATAAAATATGATTTTACTCAAATTCAAAAATTTGAGTAAAATCATATTTTGGAAATTTTCTGATTCCCTTTACATCCGGGAGGTGCAGCAGCGTCATTTTTTCACTTTTTATAGTGGAAGTTCTCTGCTAGGATTATAAAAACCATTTGCCTATCTTCTATTTACTAATAAACAAAGTACAAAACAATGGAAATTTTAAAAAGATATCTTATAATATAATACATTATAAAACTTACACTTTGGGTTTTATCTTCGTGCCAAAGATAAAAAAGAATTTGTGGTAGTTGTTAAAAATTCTTTAAGCTGCTTAGAGTCAATAGTTTTGATATCTATTTGTCTGCTTTGGAGCATCTGTTTTCCGAAGGTTTCTTACTTTATCATCAAAGAAAGCCAATGCAATCAACTCTACAGAGAGATACCACAAATAATTCTTAAATTTGCCAAGTGCAACATTTGCTAATTCTTCATTTGTACTTTTGTAGCTGTCAAGAATCTTAATGAGACTTGCATCATTTTGTGGAGCACTTACTGCACGGGGAGCCAAGAACCTTTGCTTAATGTATATTGCAACAGAAAATAGACAAATTTCTTTTAGTTTTTTTGCTTCCTTAGCTGTTGTTTTAAACTGAGTTTTGAACATCCAGATTTTCATGTCTTTTGCCATACAACTTGCGATAAGACCCAGGTTTTCTGAATTTAATTCCAGCTTTTGGAGTACGGTCAAGCAATATAATTGAAAGTTACAATAATTCTTTGTAATCGTCGCCAGGTTGATCTTCTTTGAGTTTTTTTACTGAAAATTGTATGATTTCTTCTTTTTCTTTTTGTGGATAATTGTCTATTTTATAGAATGATGTTTGATCAATATTACTCCAGTTTTTTTAAAATATTTTAAATAACTGAATGTCAGGGCCTGATGAAGCTGACAATGCTGTGGATACCACTGCTTCCAACATGATTTCAAGGATATGATGTCAACAAAGACACCATAACAAATCTTTTTCCATATTTTGTTCAAGTAAGACACAAGCTCCGGTTTTTTTGACCGGTGTTTGATGAAGTTGTGTCAAAACACGTACCTTTTACATTATCTGTCAGATTCCATTCAATGACCACTTGGAATTAACATCCAAAAATGGCACTTCAAGAAAAAAAAATTATGGGTGAAAACCTGCTTTCCTCATTGGATGTTGCCAAGATCAGTGACCGATCAACTCCTTTAATAATAATTCCAACAATCGCAAAGCTAGGAGAAGATCCAAATAAATACAATGTGAGCTATTCATTGATACAAAGGGCAAGACATTAAATTTTACAAAGGGCAAGACATTAAATGGAATTTAATGCAGTGCATTTAATTCCATTTAATGCACTGCATTTGCAATCTCCTTTCCTGTACCATGATCTAATTTTGGCACTCCAAGTAATTGATCATCTCCACTGCCAGATGTTAGGACTGGCAACCGATCTACAACCTCATTGCCAACATTGTCTTCAAGTAGAGTGCCATCCCAATGAACAAACAATGGTTTGTCAGTGTTATAAGTCTCTTTCAATTTTTCACTCAAATTTTTTCTCGATTTTTGTCTTGCCCTTTGTATCAATGAATAGCTCACATTGTATTTATTTGGATCTTCTCCTAGCTTTGCGATTGTTGGAATTATTATTAAAGGAGTTGATCGGTCACTGATCTTGGCAACATCCAATGAGGAAAGCAGGTTTTCACCCATAATTTTTTTTTTTCTTGAAGTGCCTCTTTTGGATGTTAATTCCATTTTTTCTGTTTTTTTGCCATTTCGGTTTAGAGTGTATCCAGTTTAGAGTGTATCCAGTTTATTCTCTTTCTCTAAGGAGAACTTTGATTTTTGATCCTTTGCTTTATTTTATTTTATTTTATTTTATATTATTTAGTTTATTTAGTTTATTCACAACATCGCATTTCAGAGAGATTGGTAATCCTGCTCTCTTCCACATCTCTAATACATCATTAATAGTAGAAGTTAATGCTTCTCTGTCAGTTTCTTAAAAATATTACAAATTTTGTTTTGATGCTCAGACATTTAATAGACTTCAATTGCTCCGCTTTTAAAATGATACTTTCTAATGTGTTTAAAAAGACTTTTAAAACTATTTTATTAGTTTTAAAAGTCTTTTTAGTAAAATCATATTTGCTAGTGTAAACAATATCATTAGAAAGAAGCATTAAAAAATCACTTTCTTCTACTTAAGCATCAAAGCAGGCTTCAAACCTCAGACCTCTTAATTCTGAGCCAGAACTCTAACGAC